TCCAGGATAATCAGATTGCTTATCCTAAGAGGCCCCAAGAAGTTAATCCTACAAAACCCCGACCAGCTGAAAGCTCCGTCCTCCCAGCACACAGTAACATCCAGTCATCCCAGCTTTCAGCAGAGGACTGCCAGGCACTCAACTCGAAGTCACAATTTCCAGCCCCCTTTCTTCAGCAGCATTAGCACCAACACGAGACTTCAAAAAAGAACCCTCCAGATAACAAGAAAAATTAATCTCTATTGCTGTGCAGTCCCACAGCAGAGGTTCCCACCCCTTCCTATAGCACATCCTCATCATCACTGTTCTCAACAAAACACTGGGTTGAATAGGTAGTGAAGTACGATGAAAGCATGAAGTTGTTAGTCCCATATTTCTTCTCTTTCTAAGGCTACAGGAGTGGAGGAACATATCCATTTGTAACCAGTTGTGCTTTTACACATATGTTCCTCAGAGGGTGGTGGGTGGGTAAAAAACCCAGAGAAAACCAGCACTGAAAGCAAAGCCACTGGTAGATTTGAAAATTTAGCCTAAAACAGCAGAATACTTTCAGATATTGAATCAAGACACCCTGAGCTATATAACCTTTTAAAGCACCCTTTTAAATAAATTATTGAAGTTCCAGTCAAAAGCACTTAAGGATGCCTCTCCATTTAAAACAGGAGTCACAGGAGAGAGATGCAGAGAGGGCATGCAGGTAAGTGATGCTACACAGCGGAAGGCAAGAACCACCAGGTTACGGACTACGTGTAATCCCCTCCTTGCGTGCCTGGACACCATGCAGTGTTACTACAGCACATGTTACGAGGACTCGGAATCCAGAGGCAAGTTCCCATCAGTTCAAAATTAAAATGACCAGCACCATTAGAAAACTGAAGGTGGCCTGGGCTGCAGGGAGGATCAAGGCAGAGGAATCCTCTGTGACTGGCTAAGGATGGTGTCCTGGATTCGGCCAGGATAGAGTTAACTTTCCTCAGGCTGAGAGGGAGCACAGCTGGAGAATCCCTGGAGCATTCTGTAGCATGTGACATCATGCTCGGTATATCGGCGGACACGGGCTCTCTCATACCCCGTTTCGGTTTCCGGGTCGGCGTAGCGGGATTTTCGGGATCGCTGCTGGGGATGGGCTCCGGCCTGGTCGCTGCTCAGTGAGCCACTGCTGCCTTTTACCCATTTTGGACTTACTATTGTTAGTGTTGTTTTTGTCGCTATTAATCTTTCTTTTTTTTTCATTCAACCTACGATTTCTTCTTTTGTCCCTCTGCTGTTTCACTGGGGAAGGGCGGGAAGTAAACAACTGCCTATGTGACACTCGGCAACCACATTTTTCTGGTGCCCAACGTGGGGCTCAAACCCACGATTAAGAGTCCCCTGCTGCACTGACTGCACTAGCCGGGCCCTGGCCGCAGGCTCGCCGCTCCCCGCCAGGAGCCGCCCGGTCACCATGCGTGTCCCCATCCCTGTCCCCACTGAGAGGGTCAGGGTGAGGCAAGTGGGCGCCTCAGGTGTTGGCACGGGTGCCGGGCACCCTCGGCCAAGTCCCACTGAACGGGCCAGGATGAGCAGAGAGGGCAGGAACGAGGAGTTCTACCAGCAGCTGCAACTCCAGCAGCAGCACGAGGGCAAGCCTGACCCCTTCACTTACATGGATCTGGCCGATGGGGCCGGCTACAAGTGGGACCAGGAGAAGAAGGCCTGGCTCCGCAAGATATAAGATTTCCTGGCAATATATCGTATCAACAATGGTTTCCATGCAGATGATAACAACACTTCCATCTGCTTCTGGCACCGCAACGGAAAGTAAGCAACCACTAAGTTTGAAGACATCAAGTACACAACCATCAGGAAACAAGAAAAGACCACAGCAAACGGATCCAAAACAAAAAGCGGAAAAACGGAAGCTTGAGCCAGGATGGTTTCATGTTGAAGAAGACAAACACAAATCTCTGTGTGACTGGCTTACCTCCAGATGTTACAAAAGAGGAATTTACACAAGTCATGTCAAAATGTGGTATTGTTATAGGAGATCCTCAGACAGAAGAACACAGAATTTAACTGTACAAAGATAAGGAAGGAAATCTTAAAGGAGATGGCCTCTGTTGCTATCTACAGAGAGAATCAGTCCAACTTGCAGCGAGACTTCTGGATGAGGCAGAAATTAGAGGCTATAAATTGCATGTTGAAGTTGCAAAATTTCAACTGAAGAGGGAGTATGATGCAGAAGATATTGGCAGCATACAAGCTGCTTCAGAGGGGATTGGGACTAAAGCACAGCTCCTCCTGACTCCCCGACTGCCAGTGCTAGGCTGGATGCTGCAAGGGAGGGTCCCCTCTACACACCATGCACTCAATGCCACATAGAGTAAACGGGTCACATTAATCACACAACGGGCTCGAATAGGGAGCCCCATCCGTCCAGGAATACTTGAAGTGATTACAAACTGGCCAGAAGGCAAAGATTTTGGAATGGTGCCAGAGGAAGAGGTGACGAGTGCTGAAGAGGCCCCACCATATACTAAACTACTGGATAATGAGAAGCGATGTGCCCTGTTTATTGACAGGTCCTCTCGCATTGTGGGGAAACATCGAAGGTAGAAGGCAGCTGTGTGGAGCCCCACACAACAGGTTGCTGAAGCTGCTGAAGGAGAAGGTGAATCGAGTCAGTTTGCAGAGGTGAAAGCTGTTCAGTTGGCCTTGGATATCGCCGAGCGAGAAAAGTGGCCAGTGCTCCACCTCTATACTGACCCATGGATGGTGGCAAATGCACTGTGGGGGTGGCTACAGCTGTGGACATGGAACAATTGGCAGCACAGAGGCAAACCTGTCTGGGCTGCTGAATGATGGCGAGATACTGCTGCTTGGGTCGAGAATCTGGTTGTGAAAGTACGCTGTGTAGATGCTCATGCGCCCAAGAGCCGGGCCACTGAAGAACATCAGAACCAACAGGCGGACCAGGCTTGCCAAGATTAATGTGGCTCAAGTAGATCTGGACTGGCAACATAAGGGTGAATAATTTGTGGCTGACTGGACCCATGACTCCTCAGGCCATCAGGGAGGAGATGCAACATATAGATGGCCTTGTGATTGAGGGGTGGACTTGACCATGGATTCTATTGCACAGGTAATCCATGAGTGTCAGATGTGCTACGATCAAGCAACCAAACAGTTAAAGCCCATTTGGTATGGAGGACATTGGTTAAAATATAAATATGGGGAGGCCTGGTTGATTATATCATGCTCCCACAAACTCAGCATGGCAAGCACTACGTCCTTACAATGGTGGAAGCAGCCACTGGTTGGTTGGAAACTTATGCTGTGCCCCATGCCACTGCCCAAACACTATTTTAGGCCTTGAGAAGGAAGAGTTACGGCAGCACGGCATGCCAGAAAGAATCGAGTCAGACAATGGGAGACATTTCTGAAACAATCTCCTAGACGCTTGTGCCAAAGAACATGGTATTGAGTGGATGTATCACATTCCCTACTATGCACCAGCCTCTGGGAAAACTGAGGGATACAATGGATTGCTGAAAACTACACTGAGAGCAATGGGTGATGGAACTCTCAAACACTGGGATGTGCATTTAGCAAAAGCCATCTGGTTAGTCAATACCAGACAAGTCAAGCAAGCTGGTCCTGCTCAATCAAACCTCCTACATACTGTGGATGGGGATAAAGCCCCCACAGTGAACATTAAAAATATGCTGGGGAAGACTGTCTGGGTTACTCCTGCATTGGATAAAGGTAAAACCCAGGCATGGGATTACTTTTGCCCAAGGACCTGGGTGCACATGATGGGTAATGCAGAAGGATGGAAAAGTCTGATGTGTGCCCCAAGAAGATTTGATTTTAGGTTAAAATAGCCCAAGAATTTAACTGTCAAATAACCCTGTTATTGCAATTAGTGCCCTGCAACATCTTCTTGCCACATCCAAAGCCTCCTGCTCCACCGACTGAGACAACTCCATATCATTCCTCCAGCCTTAAAGACTGTCATGACAGATGGAACCCCAAGCTATGGACTAAATGAACTCAGTAGACGTTTTGGAAGGATGGCCCACAGACTGAAGGAATGATATCTGTGAGACCTGGGAAAAGGGGTGGTGATTCCTTATTCGGAACCTGAGCATAACATAAATGGTACAGAATAAGGGGTCGAGACTGTGCTGGTTTTGGCCAGGATAGAGTTAGCTTTCCTTGGGCTGAGAGGGAGCACAGCTAGAGGGCCGGGTCTGGATCAATCACTGGAGTATTCCATAGCATGTGACATCATGCTCAGTATATTGGTGGACACGGGCTCTCTCACGCCCCGTTTCAGTTCCCATGTTGGCCTGGTGGGATTTTCTGGTGCGGTCGGATCGCTGCTGGGGACGGGCTCCGACCGGTCGCTGCTCGGTGAGCCACTGCTGCCTTTTACCCATTTTGGACTTACTACTGTTACTGTTGTTTTTGTTACTATTACTAAATTATTTAATTCAACCTATGAATTTCTTCTTTTGTCCCTCCCCTACTTCACCAGGGAGGGGGAGGGGAGGAAAGTAAACCACTGCCCACATGGCAATTGGCTACCGGCTGAGTTCAAACCACAACAGATGGACAGGCAGTGAGAAGAACCAGAAGGACAGGAGAAGCCAGAATCACTTTGGAGGAGTAGAATGGGGAGGAGGCTGCATTTATGGAGCAGTTTGTGAAGCGGCTGCTGGAAGAACTGGCTTTGGGGAAGTTGGATATTTGCACTCCTGATGTAGGATTCAGGATGAAGGGAGAATGGAGGCAGCAGGAGTAGCTTCCATGGCTAGCACCAGCAGTGGAAATGCTCCAAGCAGCTAGCACAGTGGGAAGCAAGGATGGGGGAAAAAAAAAAAAATAAAAGAAGAAAAGATCTTCACTGCTTTTCTAATTTAAAAAAAAAAAAAGGAAAGAGAGGGAAAATAAAAAGAGGAGAGAGAAGCACCAGTCGCAAAGAGTTCACAAGGCTTTTTTTCCTCCTTCCCCCAGCATCACTGCTCTGGCTCTGACCTTCGGGGCCGGTATCTCCGATGGCCCGTTGATTTCCGCGTGGCTACTGCTGCAGTGAAGCCCACCAAGCAGCACAAGGACGTGGTGCCAAATTTGGCTGTGTCTAGCCAGCTGGGTGTTTCCGTCTTCAGGTACCTCTCAGCTAAATGCAGACTCATCACTACGAACCACAAGACTGAGGCAAACGCATCAATTCTCCGGAGCCTGCAATGCCAAAGAGAAACCAGACAAGACACAGGGTAAGAGTTTAAATACCAGTGAACCCTCTTGGTCCTGAGGAAAGGGAGGGAAGGTGGGGAAAAGGTGGGGAGGGTACACAGACAGCACGTTATGTACTATCTCTTACTATGGTTGTATCATCTGCAGCCCTTCCCACTGCTGTGGTAAGGACCTGAATAGATCAGTTCCATTTTCTACCAGATTACAGAGCTGCACAAGAAGCTTTCCATTCACAGTAACTCAAGCTTAAAATGTATGAACGAAGGCACAGATTCAGAGCAAGCTCTGCTGCCTCCAGCCAGCCAGCTCGCAACCCAAAGAATAACAAGGAGACCTGTGCCACCCAGTACTGCATGTGCCATTCTGGCAAACGTTTACCTCCGGCTCACCGAGTCAAGACAGGGCAGAAGACCTCCAACATAACGCAGTTTTCCTTTAAGCAAAACAGAAGAAAAGAGCACACCCACCTGATCCGCCCAGCTAAGAGCATGGCCAACAGGCAGGTGAGCAGCCCAAGGACAGCAACCGCCATCTGATGATTCTTGCCATAAGCCCAGGCAGCACTCAGGTTCTCCACCATCTGTTCTGGGAGCAGGCGGAGCAGCTCCCGCCAGCCTGCCACCGTCACGGCACTCTCATTTTCCAAGTCTGCATGTGAGCTTGTGCCAGTCCTGTTCTGAGCGGATGCTGGACCAGAGGAGCCCGGAGCAGGGACTGCTGCACTGAGTGAGAAGGGGTTGCCTGACCCATACAAGGCCATCAGAACCAGGAACGCACAGCTGAGGAAGGCCAAAAACCGCAGAAATATCACCTGAGCTGGTGTGGTTATGGAAGCAGAAGAGGAGGATGAACATAGATTCTGCAGAGGAAGGGAAAAACATCTTGTCAGAAGCTGAATGAACTGTAGTAAAGGTTCTGAAATGGTGCTTTATGAAACACTTCCAGACTGTACGGTTTACTGGATAGTTTTGCTCAAGTCCTTGTAAGTCTCTGTACTGGGCTGACATCACATGGGATGTAGCAAAGAGCAACAGCAGAGCCATGAGCAGAAACCAAGGTCAGGCAGGGCAGTGAGGCAAAGAGGAGGTCATCATTCACTTCTTTTTTTCCCCCACTGTACTCTCTAGTTTCCTGCACTGTACTCATAAATTGGCTTCCCTACCTGCCGCCTTCTGCCCGTCCCACTATTTTCCTTCCACTCTGTTCTTATTATTACATTAGACTCACCTTCTGGCAATTGCACCAAATGACACCAGCAAGAGGAAAACCTCAAACTAACATCAGGAGCAACTATCCTGTGCTCTTCTAAACTTCTGCCATGCACCCAAGCTCCCAGAATTAGAGCCCCAACGCCGCTGCCTTCCTTTCCCAGCAGCAAATCTACGTGCAGAGGTACCTAATTCTCTGCACTTCCCCCTAAATTCCCTCATCTCTCCCCCCACGTACCTGCGAATAGGTCTTGTCTCTCTCACGGCGTTTGAAATGGTGGCTGAGCAGCAATGCCCGGAGCTGCCGATTCTGATGTTTTATGTAATACTCCACCGCAGCCTGGCACGGACGGCACAGCTTGTAGGTCTGCTCCAGATGGTGCTTATACACCTCAATCTCCTCATCATATTTGCCCTGGTGAGAGGAGAGGAAAAGTAGATTAGAACTGCAAGATCCCTCACCCGTTATCATGCTGGCTACTGACACACAAGCAAGGCATGCTCCCAGTCTCCAGAGGAAGAGCCTCTCAACACCAGGCCTGGACAACCATGAAGCTGCAGGTCAGCCATACAACCAACCATGTGCAGAGCTGACCCGGCCTCCATGTCCCCAGAGTGACAAAACAGCCCTTGGAGAAAGCTGCTATGGTCCAATTTCAGGATGTTGAAATTCTGTGGCCCAGTTTTGCTGGTTTTGTCGAGACCTTATGAACTCAACACAGAGATGAGACAAAAAAATAGAATTGCTCTTGCCCTCCTCAAATGAGGGGAAACAAAAGACCTGTGGCCCTTCTGTACCACTGTGCTGGAGAAAGAGACAAGCTCCTTCCAAAACTCAGCCCTAGAAACGAAGGCTGTCACTGTTTGAAGGCCCTGGTGAAATGAGCTCCATAAAGCATTAATAGCACTTGTAAAAACCGTCAGCGAGCAGAGCCAAAGGTATGTTTTTCAGCTTCACTACAGTGGAGACACTACTTATCACTGAGGCTTCCAGGGCTCTTCCACCTCCACCCCCAGCCTCTATCAAGATCCTTGTACCAAAGCACACAGCTGAAAGCATGCAGCCTCTTTGGGAGAGGGGAGTAGAAAGATGCACCGTAGCTGCCTGAGGGCTTGCTGCAGCAGTTCCATAGGCTCCATCTGCCGGAATCGAGAAGGAACCACATGGGAGAGACTAGTGGCAGCAGACTCATCCCTCACTGCAGGCCAGCAATGCTGAGAGGCCGTTGCTGTCACTGACAAACAGATCTACATGTTGGATAACACGGTCCCATGTTTCTCAGCTGGCACAAACACTGCAGTTCACTGAATGCCTAAAAAGGGGCCAAAGGGTGGCGTTACTTGAGCAAGTTTATCAGTCTGGCAAGAGGCAAGGACCAGAAATAAAGCTGAGAAAAGGAAATCAGATGAAGATGTTCTCATTAAGCATGATCACATTTAAATCTGTTCCCTGAGAGTCAGCCTGATTCAACTCATTACAATTACACAAAACAGGCCGGACTAGGCAACCCAGAGGATGAACACATCCCACTGTAGTGAGTCTTACAAACCCAAGGCTTGATCATAGTTGAACGCTAAGGAGTGTGCACTAAATTCTCTGCATGAAACTCTGGGGAGCCATAAAACTGTGAAGGAAAAACGTCACTATCCTATCCTCCATGCATATTAAGTAATGGGAAGGCCAAGAAGTTGCTCAGTGGGAAATCCTGCTGCTGTAATGTAAAATCCCTCTGCCCTCCTAGGCACAAATGCCTAACCAGGGAGATGATGTGGCTGCACAGGATTCCTCTTCCACTCCACTAGCAAAAGCAGAGCAGCCCAGCTGAGGCCTCAGGAAAAACAAATTCTATTAAGGTGACAAATTCTATTCAGGTGACTAGCAGGCTGTTGTGCCTACCAGATCCTGTACGCTCAGCTGGGTCAGGAGTTAAGTACTGGAGTTGTAAGCTGATCTCAGCAATGTGCATGTTTGGTTTTGGGCTCAAGCTTCAACCGCCAGTCCATCTAGAAGAGGTCATTACATTCTGGCCTTGGAGTAGGATTAGTTAAGTTTGCAACACTAATCAGTAACCCTCTCTGCACTGGACTGCCACATAGTGCTTCTGAAGACCACTGGAGCATCACTCTATAGCACACTGAAAAATTCCTCTCTTTCCTGCTTACTAGGCTTGCAGCATGGAATTAAGCACAGCAGGAACAGCAGGTATGTGCATGGGAATGCCTTGGACATTCTCCTGTGATGCCAGTCCCTGACGAACACTTACCTCCTCCCTGGGTGAGAATGAAGCCAGCTGTTTGATCTTCGTGGTCTGATGGTTGTTGCATTTCTTGCAAAGCAGAATTTGGCTGCTCACCCACTGCTGCGGTTCAGCAGGATCACAGAAAGTTGTACCACCTGAGACAACGTGGTTCAGGTGTTCCATGTACTGAGCAGGGATGGGCTTGTTGTAGTCTCCGTTCTGACAGGAAACAAAAAAAGGAGGCAGCAGGGAAAGCAAACATTAGATCATAAAATCAAAGATTCCCTAAACTCTGTTCAGGAGTTCTACACTCCCTGCATTCACCTATGTAAAAAAAAAAAAAAAAAAAAAAAAAAAAAAAAAAAAAAAAAAGTAAAAAAAGAGACAAAGTGCTTCAAATCATCTCCCCCCTCCACTGTTCTGTGCACCTATTGCAAGCAGCTGGTGGTGGTAGATTTTGGCTTAAGCAAGACTTGTTATTTAATATACTAAATACAGCAATTCAGCTGTCCCAACACATAAAACCAGAGAAGAATTGTTCCATATATTAAAAGATTCTTAAGAGATAGAATCATAGAATCATCTAGGTTGGAAAGGACCCTGGAGATCATCTCGTCCAACTGTTCTAGCACAGTTCCCACCTACAGCATATCCTTAAGCTCTACACCGACCCTACTCCTGAACCCCTCCAGGGATGGGGACTCCACCACCTCCCTGGGCAGCCCATTCCAATGCCCAACAACCCCTTCTGGAAAGAAATGCTTCCTAATATCTAGTCTGAACTTTCCCTGGCACAACTTGAGGCCATTCCCTCTTGTCCTGTCGCTTTCTACTAGGCTAAAGAGGCTCAAACCCAGCTCTCTGCACCTTCCTTTCAGGTAGTTATAGAGGGTGATAAGGTCTCCCCTCAGTCTCCTCTTCTCCAGACTAAACAATCCCAGGTCCCTCAGCCACTCCTCACAGGACATGTGTTCCAGACCCTGCACCAGCTTTGTAGCCCTTCTCTGGACATGTTTGAGTAACTCTATGTCCTTTTTGTAGTGAGGGGCCCAAAACTGAACACAGTAATCAAGATGCGGCCTCACCAGCGCCAAGTACAGGAGCAAGATCGCTTCCCTGTCCCTGCTATTATATTGGTGAAAATGTCCAGGCCCTTTTTGCCCTTTAAAGCAAGAGAAGAAAATCTGTCTTTATCACTCAATCTCAGCACATCCCAGTACAGTGGATTCTCTCTCAAATTTGATCAAGTGATCAGCTGCGGAGTTCAAAGGTGCTCAGCACACAGCTGCCAGCTGTCACACTGCTGCACTGGGCCTGTATCATCTTAAAATGAGGAACAGGGTTTTCCCACAAACACTCTTCCACAGGGCATGCACCTTCCCAGGCACCCAACGAGCAATTGTCACAGTACCTCTTGGAACCCATTGTACTGCTCACAGTTGGGGCAGTCCCAGCAGTTGCGATTCCCATACGGCACTACCGTGTCCTGATTGCAGAACCAGCAGTTCACAGTCACATGTGTGGGCTTCCTGTTGGGAAAGGAAACGTGTCAGCAGGAACATGGAATTCAGCTGATGTAGAGAAAGTCAGTGGCTTTCAAACAGGGAAATGCAAGAGAGGCTGGAATAACAACCAATCTTCTGTGTTTAACGATGGGACTCTGAGTAGTCATTTTAGCAATGAAAAGATGACCATCAAAGTAGAAATAAATTCTGCCTGATAAATAAATTCTGCATCTCTTTGTGCTAGTACTATGGGCATGCCAGAATTTTAACAACAATCTTGTGAATAACCCACTTCACTGTTTTTCAGAGGCACATTTGGGGGTGTAAGTGCTCTCCATAATCATCAGTGTTCATGTATGCGAAGGGTGTGGTAAAGTCGCTGCTCAATACACAGGATTCTGAGAAACAGAGGTTACAATCCACAAGAACTGTACATGATAGTACTCAGAAACCTAGGGAATGGGCTCATGGTCATGGTTTTATCAAGGACAAGGGCATATCAAATTATCCCAAAGTTCAGGCACTGTAAACAGCTGCTTCTTCACAGCTTTAGATACATAAGGAACGGAGGAATCAACACAACTCAACCTGTTTTTATGTACTGGAACTAAAAAGACTAATGACCTGGATCCACAATCCCCTTGTTTTTCAAACCATACCTGTTAAAACAACAGTCACTACAAGAGAAACAGCTGTGACATGCCCCCACTGCAACAGGTTGTGACAGATGTTTGTGAAAAGTCTCTTGAGCCTGCCTGCTAAAGAAGGTCTGCAGTTGTCTTGAAACTTGGTGCAATACCCAAGAGGAACTGTCCTGGCAGGTCAAGGCAGCGCAGCCCAGCTGTCTGGGTTTTCCAGAACCTGTCCCAGTCGCACCTCCAAGGGAGGGCAGCTGTTCAGGCAAAGCCCAGGCAGGGACTCGCTCTGGCAGCTATGCAGGCAGATGGACCCAGCTGCCACCAGCCCCGTTTGCTCCTGAACTCCACCAAGCAGTCACCGTGCCTCCCGCTGGGCAGCTTCGACAGCCCCAGCCAAGGCAACTGAGCGGGGAGGCTCACTGGGGGCCTCCCAAGCAAGTAACAATTGCCAAAGTACTCACCAGTTGAGAGCAACTTCTCCCTGCTCTAGGAAATGTTCTCTGCTGCTCCAATGTTCTGTAGCGAAACATCTGAGTGCTGCAGAAGTGCCTAGCACCCTGCAACCAAAGGGGCAGGCGGTTCTCCCAGCCATCACCTCTGTAGCTGGAGGACTACAATTAAGATTCTCCACACCCCCACATCCCCCCTAATTTTCATTGATCACATCTTTAAACCTGTTTCATAAAGTATCAAACACTGAAGTGATGCTTGGGCCTCCTGTTTAAGTACTAATGACTAGGACAAGCTTGAAATGAAGCACCAGGAAGAAGCCTAAAAAGCCAGAGCGCACTGAGGATTCCCTGCCAGATGCTGCAAGAAATGGCTGGAGCTACTAGAGTGACAGATTCTCATCTCAAAATAGATGCACACACCCCCACACCCCCTCTTAAAATGGATATTCACTGCTCAACTTTCTTCACTGCCAAGGGGGCTCAAAACAGCAAGTGAACCGAGTTAAAAATACCGCCATTGAAACTCACAGGCAGAAAAAAAGTTTAAACCAGACAGAAATCTAGGTCGCTAGTCCAAGTTATCCATGAGCTACTACTGACCAAAATCAAGCAAACCACATATCAAAACAGCCATAGGAAGGACAGACAGCAAGACCTGTTGGTATTAGTTTCATCTCACTATCATAGGTGGAAAAACTATGAAAATATAATGCGTAGGCTTCAGCATGTTAACCACTATAGTACAAATCCTACTGCGCCTCGAGCACAGACTCTGATGGCAAGCACGACCTAAACTCCATCCTCTATTGCACATGCCCCAGGGGCTTACACAGTGCTACAATCCCATCTTCATGCTGCTGTGGCACCATCCCATGGAAATAAAACATGCCACACTTCAGCCTCTACCTACCACCAGCCTCCAACTTCTGTGACATGACAGAGTAGGTAGAAATAGTAATTTCAAGGATATCAGAAGAAGCGGAAAGGACAGGTCAAAGAATTAGTATAGCACACGTGCTATAAAGCAAAAAAAGAACCAGTGTCAAACCCTATTTGAGACCTTGCTAATATCAGAGACCAGATCCTGAGTATACTCAAGACCTTTTCCAAACAGGATTCCACTTCTCACTCTTGAGGCTCAAATGCTACTAAGGGTTGAATAAAGGCCCTTCACTGTCACAACGTATGCAAAAGAAACTACTAATTCCTGAATTCTTTAGGATAAAAAGCAATAATCCTTCCTTTTGTGAATGTACAATCTGTTGCCATAGAAATAGGTGTGAAAAAATCATAAGTTCCCAACCTGCTGGATACAAAAAGAAGAAAAAAAAAAAAAAGGGTAATTTCAGGCAAGAACATGTAGGTAGGGTGCTAATGTTCTAGTAACTGGGCAGGACTTTAAAAACAGAAAACAAGTGCTGCATTTGGAAAGACTCTCCAACATGGATTTAATGACTTTGGAGCTATATATACCTTGACTGAATTCAGGCAGCAGCTGAACTTAATAAGCTAGAGCAGACATTGCTTCTGAAGTCAGACATTCTGTTATGAGGAGACAGACGATGCAAAACTAAGCATTTACTAGGCAAATCATCCCTAAGGAGTTTATAATCTAACACCGTATTAACTTGAACTACCTTCACTGGATACCTTGCAAAGTAAAACCCGAGCAACAAGAAGTGACTGAATTACTTACTGCATCAAGAGAGTCCATTACCAGCTGACTTGCTGTGCTAACTCAATCTGCAGCCTGCACACCCAACCAAGCTAGGAGCAATTCACAGGTTTGGACAAATTGTTTTGGATGTAGAAGATCTTTACTTAAGACAACGCTGGAGGGACATACCTGGAGTAAACTCAGTTACAAAATCAACACCTGAATGTCTGATACTGCTCAGACAATATGACCAAATATTCCTTTCTGAGAGGCTATCAGACTCTTTTATTTTGTTAACAAAAATCAGACTGCAGGTGTATCCATTGACAAACACTGTTTAGCAACTAGTTTGTGTCTCTCATGTTTCATAAGAAGGAAGTTACATTCCTTCCTACTCCCAACACTCTCCTCTATTCCCCATTTACACATACATTTAAAGTCATGCTAAAGTCCACACTTTTAATGGATTGCCAGAACAACACTCTCCCTGATAAGTGTGGGTCAAATCAGTTACCTGATAATAATAAACTGGATTTCAAAATGTTTTTATTTACATCCCCCCCCTCCTTTACTGCTAGGTTGGGACATGAAGATGTTCAGTTTTCCATATTCTTAAGAGAGGCCACAAGTGGATGTGCAGCTTTTTGCTGGGTTACCCTTATCCCCTGGCAAGGATTAGAAGAAAAAATGAATTCTCCATTAAAAGCATTTAAAGCAACACTCTTCATTCTGGTGCAACTGGATTACAAAGCAATTATACAAGCGGCTGCACCAGCAAATCTGAAGAAAAAACACACTAGGAAGAGGAGTTCTTTTGCATAGATCAGTTTTGATCAGAACAACATCTGATGGCAGTTTGACATCACCAAGCTGCCAAAGCTCCAAGCCCCTGGCATAGTACTGGCAGCATGACCGAGTGAAGAGGAGCTCACTGAACCCGAGAGCACGTTCAGCTCACAGTCAGGGAAGCTCCTGGGTGGCAGCTCACTGAGCTGCCATAATTCCAAATTGTACCCACATACATCACCTGTCAATAAAGGAGTCTGCCCGTGCAGACCCAACGCTAAGCCCCATTTTCCAACGTGAGGAAAACACATCACAGCTGTCTAGATTCCAGCAGGCAAACTATACCATAGATGCATTTGCTCAGTACTAGCAGTTGCAGACACGGCTGAAGATGTAGTCACAAGAGCAGCTTTCTAGTACAGTGTCACAGGTTAGAACACAGCCTATGCTTTCCCAAGAGCCAGACTTAGTGTCCCCTTAACAAAGAAAAGGGTGCCCAATGGACTCAGGCAGGAACACAGACCCACAGTCATAATCAGTCCCTCTGATGTCCCTCCCAAATGCTGTCTTCTATGAAACTGCAACTTTTAATACTCTGGAGAATACCAGCCATCAGGACAGCACCCTCCAGAAAAGGTGCCTCTCTCTGCCATCTCAGTATCTGTGACAGGATTCTCAACTACATGAACGAGCTGCACAGCAGTTCCCAAGTTCCTACCAATCTCTTTTAAAGTGATGGATTATATTGACTTGTAGAACGTGCTGCCTACGCCATCACTAACCCAAAGAGTCTCAAAAAAAAGAGATTCTCATGGGGTAGTCTGTATCAGTACCGACAGCAAGTCAGTAGCCAACAATTAGGAGGGGCACGGAAGATGAAGGAAATGTGGCTACAGGTGCTGGTCTGAACCCAGAAACCCGACTTCTAACAATACGTAACAACCAAGTAGTCTGCTATGACCTCGAAGAAAGACCACAAAACATAACAGTTTTCCTATCTGGCCTAAACTCATAAGGTTTAAGGAGTTCTGTGTGTATCTGGACATCAAGACTTCCTTCTCGATGCTGACACAGTTATAGTAGTGTAACTCCACATATTGACATTCCAGAACTACTTTTCACTAAATTGTTCTATCTTATTTCCTTTCCTACAGGGTGTGGTAAAGGCATTTTGTGAAATATGTAAGTGCACTCATGCTGCAAATGGAGCAAACCAGGGCTGTATCGTAACATTAATACCAAAGACAAAGGCAGCATCATGTTTGGATCAGTCCCTTATAAAGCTGTCCTTGATGACTTTGGAAGATTCATTTAACTAAGGTAAAATAAGAAATTTGATAATATCAGAATAGAATTAAGAAACACAAATATGTAGTAACTATCAAGGTCATCTGAAAATATTTACAGCTCACTGGCAGTTTTCAATGACTCAGGAAGAAATGCTTTCTATTCTGGAAACCTTATGATGAACTTAGGGAAAACAAATCCAGTCTCTTCTCTCAAAAGACATGTTAGCATCAACTGGGTCAAAGAAATGCTGCCTGCTTTACCGGGGATTGCTTTAGGCCACTAGTATTTCTTAGCTGCCCTAAATATGCCACAAAAATGCAAATTTTTGTCTATGGGCTAATATACCACTGACCCTTTATAGGGTTATATAAACAGCAAATGCTTTCGAGCAAAACCTCAAGTATTTTGTTGTGGAGGTAGAGATAATGCTTCTATTTCGAAGTGTAAACTTGAAGTGAACCGTAACACAAGGAGCCCTCGGGACTGCCGTTTTCTCCAAGAGCAGCACTCGACAGATGAGCAGACTGCTCAAATCTGTTGTTATTCCATATATTCCTGCATTCACCTCAAACTGTGCTAGATTAAAATCTGTCAAATTAAGCTTTACTCCTTTCATGAAATCTGCACCCTGACTTCTCTCCTAATGCTTTTCAAACCTGGTTTTCAATTGGTCTGTTTAAAATTTGTTCTAAAGGTCAGAAACGTTCCATGCAATTAAGGAACAACTGACCAAAGAATTTTGGTCCCTGGTAACCTGGACTTCTGTGTGATCTTCCCAAGTTTCAGCAGGCGCTAACAGCGCTGTTATTTCTGCAGAGCGCTCTGTTCCCCTGCCAGCACGCTTTCACCCCCAAACCAACCAACACGAGCAGCCCAACTCGCTCTCTCCCTGCCTGTAAGACGTCAGAAAACAAAGGAGAACCCCCCGAGCACCCCTGTAGCATCGCTCGCAGTTAACAGCAGCCTCTCGACTAGGGACTGGAGGACGGGAAAGGTTTTCCATCACCTCCCGGGCACAGCTCGCACAGCATGCGAGCTCTCCATGTGCAGCGCTGGCACACAAAGACACGAAGCCATTCCAGGGGATACGGGAAAACGTACCCAGCCCTTCACCTACAAGTGTCTGCTGCCCGCCGACAGCTCGGGGGATGGCCCCTACCCCAACACCACAGGGACAAAACCGACCTTCGGGACCCCCGACGCCGACCCGCAGCCCCACCTCATCTCCCCACAGCCCGCCGAGGCCGCTCCCGGCCGCCCCGGGGAGGAGGGCGAGCCCCGGGCGGAGCC